ATATATATATATATATATATATATATATATATGCTAGATAACTGCAGCAGTTGTAATAGTCTATTTCTCTCCCTCGCAGTCTGAAAACTACACCCAACATTTCTTTCTCCCTGTCCTTCCATGTCTTTCTTTTTCTTTCTTTCTTTTACTTCATCCCTCATTCACCCCTCCATCTGTGTTTGATCAATAGAGTGTAATTAAAGGAGGGATGAAGCAGGCTCCTAGAGGAACAGCTTGAGTCTGACTCTGTCTCCTCTGACACACTGCTGGCCCTCACTCATTCTGATGTATAATGTATGCAATACATACATCTCAACCTCTCTCTCAACCATAGTCTCTGCAGGAGAACCGAAAACTCCTACTGTTCCTGGTTAGCTTGCAGAGAAGATAAAGAGGGGTGTAAATGTCTCATTCAACAGCCATGTCTAAAAGACTATCTTTTAATTCGTGAATCACAACTGTCATGCTGTCTTTTTAGATTGATGCATCGTTGTGTGCTACATTATAAACAGTCAGGACAGAAATTGAATTTGCAAATCTTACAGATCAGCATTAACTGTGTTTTAGTAGTTGCGTGAGTACAAAGCAGGTCTTTCAGTGGCTTATTAACTTTTTGACAGTTCTTTATTAACAAAAAAAGAGGAAGTATGTATATATTAAATATGAAAAAAATATTTTTAATCACTCTTTCTCTCTGTATGTATGGGTGATTGATCGTTTAATTGCGGTCCTCCTTGGCTCCTCGGACAGGCAGTCGTTCGCCGAGAAGTCAATGTGTTTTTCTTTTTTTCCGGGCTGCTTGGGCCAGGAACCGGAGGACAGATAATCTATTTGTGCTAATTTCGAGATTCACCCCCCCCACACACACCCCTTCCTGAATAAGTCATTCCGCTCTGTATCTTCCTCTTGCCATCTCATGTGCTGCGCTCGGCACTTCAGCTCTTCCACATCAGCACATTTCATTGGTCCGGTCATCTGATGTTTCAGCAGTCTTCTGTTCCACATGCTCTTTCACCACAAAACTTAATCTAATCATGTTAAAACCTCCCGGCCTCAGATGATTGCAATCCGATTTGCATTCCTCTGATTTTATTTAAAGCGTTTGATTTTGTGCTATTGTTACAGAAATGGAAGAATTCCAGTGCAACTTTTTATATCGGTTGATATGGACACCGATTTAGATATTTTCCATTTGACCTCTTAACACCATTGACACATCAGGAAGCTGCTGCCCAGGCAGTTAATCTGAGACTGTGTGTGTGTGTGTGTGTGTGTTTCTACTGTGAGAAACAGGATCGGAGCACAAGAGATCCAAATGATGAAGTGTAATTACACACCCAATTGATTCTGGCACCTCATTCATCATCCAGTCATCATGTTATTCACAAACACCGTTTCCAGGCGTCAACTGAGCTAAGAAAACAATTTAATGTGTAAAAATACACACTTGACCCTGCAGATACATAGCTGTTGTCACTACATCCCTTGAGCCAACTCAAGAAATGTCCAGCTTATTTTCTCAGTCTCCCAGAATTCACAGTCATCTCTCTCACTGCTTTCTTCCGCTCCCTCTCACTCATAAGAGTGCATTAGCTGACTTCTCCTTTCAACGATTTGGGAATTAAACGAAATGCAGGTGAAGGATTAATTCCCGCAATTCCTCAGAGTTATTCTGCTCTCGCCATGATTGATGAGCGCATTTAGTCGTTCAGTTCTTTGCATCTGCTTATCCCTGTCCACATCTGCCTAAATGCTGACCTTGATTTTGAAGACCACTGCCCCTTTTCAGCGCTCCTCATACATGTTTTCTAAAGAGTTTTCATGTAGATGCTTGTTAGAACCATTTTAAGAATATAAACAATTTATAAAAAGAAAAGTATTGAAACAATAAAAACAAGAACAATAATAAAATAAAGTAAATAGTTTGTTTGCTTTTTTGTTCTTGCAAAAACCTAATAGTATCTTTTTGTGATTAATCTTCTCTATTGTTCTTAAGCAGGCAGTGGTAGTTCTCAGAATGAATGAACAGCAGACAGGTAGCATCACTCAAGGTAATGGAAGGTGGCACCTGGCTTGTCAGTCCGTTACCATTAGACCTGCAGAAGCTCGTTTAAAGCATCTTAACAAGTCACAAAACAGAAACACTGACACTCATGCAGTCCAGAAATTCTCTCAGTTAATCTATTTGTTTTGCTTTCGCATCTCTTCCCCCTGTCTCTGCCTGACCTGTGCACTCTCTTTAACCTATTTACGAATAACAGATCTGCTTGTTGGTGTTTCACAGCCTGTGGTTTTCACCAGCTTTCATACAAAGAGCTTCACATATTGCCCAGCATTTCCTGTCTGAGCACATGGGGCTCACTGTTCTGTCTCTCTCCACCATTGCCTTGCCATAATAAGATACCCACTGCTTTGAGAGTTCCCCAAGCAGAGCACCTGCAGTCCATAGAGGTAGAAAAAATGATGAGTAGAAGGAGGGAGAGCAGAGGAGAAGGGTTGTGCGGCAAAACAGAAGCAGAAAGCGCCGTATCTGGGTAGCCCAGCTGCCAGGTCCCAGGTGTGTGTGTGTGTGTGTGTGTGTGTGTGTGTCGTGCTGGGCTGATGCGTGACTGCCATGCTTAGTCCGAATTGAAAGGGGGAGGGCTAATCTATCTCTGTTCCATGTG